TAATTTTCTCACAATTATGAAAATTGTGATGGCATTTAAGGTTTTGCTGTGATCTTTCCATGACCTCCGGCGCAATTACCACCAGCAGTGTGAACGAGAGGGACGATGGATAGGCCTATATGAGGGATCAGCGAACCACGTTGTTTGTTAGTGATAGGTTATTCAGCGAGAGAGAGAGAGGTCGTCACTGGCAGGGAACTGGAAGGAGAGGCAGAGGAATTTGCGGGTTGCATACGCAAATAAGACAAACCCGTGCTATTAACGCGATATTGAGGAAATCTGAGACGTGTATCAGAATATCGGCTAATACGGCTGGCAGTCGAGACCTGAGAATACTTTGCGCGAACATTCTCTGACGGCCGTAAACTTTCGAAACTCAGGAAGTTGACGGAGCTTTGGTTTGATACATGAAGCATATGGCCGTAGCGTTGTGCCTTTCCGCTGTTCAGTTCCTCCTGAATATTTGAACATATAATAGAACGAAGTTGTTGTTTTTCGAGCTTTCAGGTAAAACGGCAACGTTTTTATAGACTGTGACGACACGTGGCTCAGTAGGTTACTAACGCAGTAAACCGGCATCACAACTCCAAGAGCAAAAGTCTCTTTGCAGCGCACCAGTGTAAGTGCTCACACTTACGGGAGGCCAAATGGTTTATCTTCGCGTGAAGACACTTGGAAGTTCGGGGCTTATCATTCCGCTAGTCTTCAATGTGCGAGTGCCGCAGAATTGTCAGTCTTCACACAACCGAAGCCTCGCTTCGGGCACTCGTTTGGAAGTGCGAGATTAAACAGGACGCAACTTGAACTTGGATTCCGAGGGTCTTAAGATGGGAGATGAGTGGTTCCCTTGGCTGCGTCCTGATTAGTGGTGTTGAACCATCCGCTTACCAGAGAACTAACCTGTTATGTTCGTGTCTATTTATATTTGCGTACCAAGACGACCCAAAAAAACAAATTTTGTTTCCTTCCTGCCATTTAAGCCTGCGTGTACAGTCCGTCCCACAACCTCATAATATGCACGTAACAGTAACGGGAGACGAATGTATTGCATT